CATTGAGGACCTCAAAGAAGGAAAGCAATGGCGGCTCGCGTAGAAGTATATATAAATTTTGTATTTTTTCCTCTTGTACATACCCAACACAAGATATGGCTCTCAAAATTCGTGAAACTGCAATCTATTCATGCTTCGGGAACCTATTTAAAGGGATTTTTCGGAGGTTTTTGGAGCAGAATTGACGAATGTTGACATTAATTTGGACGTATCGATGTGCGACCCGAGTGTTTATCAACTATTTGAACTTATTTTTTCGACTTCAAACCACAAAGGTAGGCAGCATTTGTAGATGCAAATTTGGTCGCTTAGTATGTACAAAACTAAAAACTCTCAGGAACCTCGAGAACCTCGTAAACGCATTTACTTTAATTTATTATGTAAAGGACATGCCATATATCCACGAAGAGTGATCGAAGTGCGATTTGAGAAAACCTTTCTCTTAAAATGATATTTTGGCGAAAATGTGTTATCTCCCATGCATTTCTTTAGGAAATTTATCCGCCATTATTGTACTTATTACGCATGCGCGACTCCATTTTGGGCGATATTTCTGCTAATGATTCTGTAGCATTAGATGTATTCGTTGCAGTTGATAGAGTAAGTTTTCATGTCAGTTATTAACGTTTTGTTAGTTTTTGGGTAGCTTGGAGTGATATTTGGCAATATTTGAATTTGTCAGGAACTCGTATAAAGTCCGACTAGATATTAAAGAACTTTGCTTTTGCTAACAGATTCGTGGGCCGGCCCGTTCCGAAAATTACGCTGAACATTTTTTTTGTGTGGTCCTACCACGAAAGGCGTCTGCATTTGTTTAATTGTATATTCTTTCCTTGCATTTTATATTCACTGTCGACACTGTCGCCACGGCACTGTAGGCGTAGTTTCTGAACGAAGTACCTTAGCAGTTCACACCTAGTACGCATGCACGACAATTTGAGGCCAAAGAAAATCCGCTCATTTTAAGACATGGTCTTCAGGAATGCCATGTATTAATACCATAAATAAGGTATTTTACATTTTAGATGAAGAGAACATGTTGAAATTTGCCGTTATTGTCCTCGATTTTCGATYCGCCATTAATCGGCAGTCATTTTGGAAGATAAAGGCCGTTAGAATGTTCCAWGGGCGCGGAGCTCTACAGAAGTAACTATTTTGAAAGGCTACGGTTTTTGATCTAGGAATATTTAATGTTAACACTTTKGATAGATCAGATCGGGTSGTGGTTCTCAWAGGGATATTTACAGAGGTGTTTGGATCGGTAAATATTGACAGAAAAACCCGAYTTGTAACAAATCTCAGAGCACTGGTYTGTCACCTCAGTGGACACTGTTCGAATCTCTTTTGAAATAGCTTTCACTCATGAAATAAATCATGAACTCTTTATTTAATCTTTTTTTAATCTTACATATTCTTATATATTACTTTTATCTTTTATATTTCAATTATTATAGTCTTCTACTTTGAAGCCTTTGACGATAGGGCAAACGAGCTATCAAGTTATCATTATTACTGAGTATAACGTAGTGAAATRTTAAGAAATTGTTAGGCGAACCTGCACAGAATTTGCTAAAATTACAATACAGGTTTTGTTGCTGCTGTCAGGTGATGTTYCTTGTGTCCAGTGKRATTTTACTTGCGTCATCTCCATTAGCACTTCTTCTAAGAGTAGTAGAATAAACATTTTTAAGCTATCAATAAAAAAAATATTGTAGAGAAAAATTAAAAGAGCCACAGAGAGAGATASCTAAATTATAATGTAGAAAAATCGCCGACATTATCTTAAAATCCGTTACCTCTAGAGCTTGCTCTCGAATACGTCTAATGGGATTTCTTGCCCTTTYCCAGGTCCAGTTCCTGAATTTAAGACAGATAATACTTGAATCATGATGGGAGCAAAACAAGATTCAAAAATACAAATAAAATAAGCACAAGGTACACAAGTAATTCTGTTTTCGTATTTCTCAGAAATAAAATGACTGATCTCTCACCGATATTACATATCATTGAATTTGCGCTTTGCGCTTCCTGACCGACCTGCAAGTCTAGGCCTCACCTCTGCGAGATCCTTCACCATCCTTTTGTTTCAGGCTTTTATAAAGCAATGCACAGATTATTACAACCAACTGATTATAAAAAAATACAGCCCAAAGAATCGTGACAGCGGAATTCTCCATTTGCAAACTTAGAAAAATCAAACAAATCAAGGCAAGATGACAGCTTTTGGGGATAATGAAGCAGTGATTCGATCTTAACTGTTTACTCGTGGCATTCAGGTTTTTATAGATGTGAATGGTGCCTTACACTCGARACTTGTAAAGCCTTACCCACAGATTACATGCACAAACCGGGGAGTCAATTAAAGTTCTTGCAATTACCATTTCAGTCTCTCATTAGTTGGAAAAGGAAATTCAATTCAATAAAGAATTGATGAAAATCAAATAATGTTTCTTGAACTTTCTTAGATACGGGAAAGAAACTTCGACTGATAAGACGAAAACTTTGAGTTTTAAAGACCGACTGGTCCCCATTTGTCGCATCGAAACATGAGAAATACGAGAAATGAGAAAATTATGAGCAGTTATCGAGCAATAGGATTTTTTTAAAAACGTTGATTAAAAAAATGCAATTTCCAAATTTTGTTTCAACACGTTCAATGCCTCTATTGCGAAAACACACTAGATGTGTAAAAAGACAATAAAAGAACGCTCCTGTAATTGACTAACATTACTGATCAAGATCGGAGATAAGCAATTGCACAGAGCTTCTGATTTGAATTAATCAAACCTGGACAAACGAATTCATAATTTATCACTATTACTAAGTGATAACAAACATACCGTCATTCTCCACTTCTTGAATATCCTGGCTSCCATCGTCCTGCTGTTTCTTTGTATCTGCTTTAAAAGTTAACATAAAATTAGTTAGAYCTATTTTTAGCAGCTTGGAGTTTTTAATTACTAAAGTTAATGTAAATTTTGCTAATTTGGTTCAAAAATGTGATATAGTAACGAATTCCAAATAGACTAACACGGCAAAATAATCGTAAGAAGTAAATCAAAATGTAGGTGCAATATAAGGGCAAGTGTGCATACTAGCCTTCTCTATTATGTTCATGGTTGTCTTGTTCGTCTTCGTCGATCGGGACATTTTCATTTCCTATTTTAAAAGCAGTGGCAAATATCATATCATGCATGCATCAGTACTTTCGGAGAACAATGCGTCCGCCATCTTTTCTTTTCAATCACTAAATTATAACTCCTAAAGGATTTAAAAACTTCTCAGCTAATRTCAAGTTATTATTATACAATATAATGATAGATTAGTTGACTTAGAAACTACGAAATATGTTCTAAGGCACAACGAAGTGTTTCCGGTCTCACTTTTCAAGATGGCGGACGCATTGTTCTCCGAAATTACTGATGCATATATTGAAGCGAAATCAATAACACTACCAATTCATAAACGAGAAGAGGAGTGGGAACTACATCAAAATCGTTTTCATATGGTCGTCCCAAACGTCTATTTTTATTGCACTACTTTCCTAAAGCGATTTAAGAACAATAGCCGACTTTCGATATTTTGGTTAACTAACCAATCAAGAAATTCTTTTGTTTCCCCTAATCCTCGTCCTCAATGCTTTTGTTCATTACAATTCAACCAAATTATCGAAAGTGGACTGTTTCAAAACGCCTTTCGGTGCGATAATATTGAGACCGGGTACACGGGATTCAAAACACATTAAAAATAAAAATATTTTGTATATATTTTTTCATCCAGGCAATAGTGTAACACTTTTGTCACAAGATCTTGAAGCTTTTTAATCTAATTAATCTAAGTAGGGAATTTTAGTACATTATTCATTTTTTTTAAAGAAGAAGAAAAATAAGGAAAAATAAAATAAAAATGAAAAACCTTGCACCACTATCTCTTCGTTTTTGACGCGCCATCTCTTCACATGTTTTGATTTCAAGTATGCTTTGACCTAATTAGAGAAAAAATGCTATAAAATTGAAAGTCGAACTCAAACAGAAAATAATAACGTACTGTTTAAAGATTGACGAAAAATTTTATATTTTGTTTTATTCTTGTTCAGTCTATAATTGTTGCTCACACAAAGTATTTTAGTCCTTTTCAGTTACTCACTCATTTGGATGGCGCTAAAAGACTTTAAAAAGCATATCATGTTTGCTTTAAAATATTTGGATAAAGCATTCTATTGCCAACCAGCGGTAGCATTTCAGTGGGAATACCGATATTTGTGGATGCTGGTTTTTACCTTACTAATTTTATTTATCTCGTAGAAATTTATTTCGTTGAGGCCTCAAAAGATTTGGGAATAACCATCGTTTATGTTCTTTTCATGTATTTTGTTCTTTTTATTTTAGCTTCAATATAGATTTCGTTTACTAACATCTTCAGTTGCTAAAATTGTGGTGCGTAAAGTACAAAATACGAGAAAGGAGCAACAACGAGGACTTTACCTTATCGTCTAGAAAACAATGAAATATTGCGATCATGATTCCCTGGTTGAAAAAAATAACAATGAATCAACGATAATTATTGGAAAGCAGTCATAATCATCACCATCATCATCATCTTTATTAAGTCAGTAAAGCTAGAGCATCATACTAACTATTAAAGAAAAAAAGATATATATATAGAATTACAATAATCTATGTAATACAGCCTTTTGCAAAAATTATGAGAATTGTCGAAATATCTAAATATCATAATATCGAGTGCATTATGGGTAATCCCGCGCGATGCCCTTGGACCCTTGTCTTTGTAGTTTTTTTTTCTTTTTGGCGACAGACTTATCCGTAGTTCTGAACATTTTCTCGATGTCAACAATGAATTATTCTAGCAAACCCGCGTGTTCCGGATAATATATGGATATGGATATTATGATATTTAGATATTTAGACAATTCTCATAATTTTTGCAAAAGGCTGTATGAAAGTAAATATTAAATAATTTGTATTTGAAGTGAAAAGATCTTCTTGGTTGGGCTGTTCAAAGCCTGATTTTCGTTGACTCCAAAAGTACGCAGGTATATTCAGAGTGAATAACCGATGTTTTATTTGACAGCAGATTCTCTACGCAAAGAACTTAGCACACACAAAAGAAAGCACGAGAAAATGTTGTTAGTACAATAGCGCTAACAATTTACATTTGCCCGAGTTGAGGCTAACCCTGTATTCCCAGAAGGCTCATACCTTAGATCTTATGGGAATACAGGGTTAGTCTTAACTCGGGGAAAATTGCAAATTTTCAAGGCTGTATAATAACTACATTTTCTCAAGAGTCTCTTTTGTGTTTGTAAGGTCTTTGCGCAAGAGAATCTTTTGTCACGCAGCGGTGCTTCGCTATGAATTCGAAACTGGAGTATTAAGTTTTCAACAACCAGACTCTCATTTATGTTCATTAAATTCTTACATAGGTCTTGAAGCCGATGATTACAACGTACCTGTGAAGAGTTGATGGTAATGAAGATGTAAGCAAGAATCCAGTGCAAGTTTACTGTGTACCCGAAAAGCCACACCAAACCCAGCAGAGGAAGAAGAGCGGCAACACACTTGATGCATTTCCTTACAAGGATTAGAAACAATAACGGATTGTAAAGTATCAAGACGTTTTCGTTTTTCAAATATTCAAACGATTTCAAATTACACAAATAAACTCGAGGAATGCGCGTGTTTCTTTATCGTCACTGTGAAAACATTTTTATACACGCATGTACTGTGATCGGTCCCAAGTAATTAACTAAAGATTACGATTATTTTCTACATTGTAATACTCGTCTTGACTCAAAATGCATTTTCTCTGATTAAAAGCATGCATTTACTAATATAACATACCTTGCTTTCTTCAGTTTATTGTCAGCAAATCGTTGAGACAGCTTTCCGTATGCAATATTCAAGAACACCAAAAATAATGCAAAGTTTACCTTAAAATAAAAATAAAAGTGTAAAATTATAAAATTTATTCCGGAATAAGCCTTTTTCCGTTCAATTCGCGAGACAACTGATTTAGTAGACAAGAGACTCACTTGCGGAGAGAACGTACAGAAGTAAAACACGAAGAAGTGCTGACATTATGATAGCTCTAGAAATTTGAATCTTCTCCGATTTGAGGCTAAGCCTGTATTCCTGGTAGACTTAAACTCTAGGTCATCTGGAAATACAGCCTCAAATCGGAGAAAATGTAAATTTGTAGAACTATTGTAATTAAGCAATTCGTGCTTTCTTTTGAACTCGGAAAGGTCATCGCATGATAGACTGTTGTCAACTAAAACAGCAGTCGCTCTCTGTGAAAGTGAAAAATGTAAAAATTGCTTCTAAAACGTTTTTCTAGTCCAGTACATTCAAATAAAGAGTGCAAGAGTGTGTATTTTGAATATACGCTGTTTTAAGAAAATGTTCTTTAAAAAAGTAATTGCAGACGAATAATTTCCTATGTATCATTGAATTCCGTTTTTAAATATAGCAAGTGAAAACCTTAAACTTAATATAACATAAACGAGCTTTTGCTACAGGAATATGTGAAAGGTAATAGTGTCAAGCAACAATTCTTTGCTAGCGATTTAAAAGCATTACCAATAGAATGCCGAGTATTGGTCCATTGTAGATCCAGAAACCACCATTCAGCCAACAGCTGAAAAAGTGTATTTAATGATATTTATGAATTTTTCCTTATGCGTCACAGCTTTATATCACAAGATAATAATAGCAAATCATATTCTTTGACAAAAAATAGATCTTCATCTTTACACTGCTCTCTGTGGTTGGTTTGACTGATTACTTACAAGTTTCGTTCCACGGTGATTTCAATCTCCTGAGTACCACATTGGTAGACCTCGCGTTTCGTACTCATGTCGTATGTAGATGGTTGAATGGCAGCCGTGAACACGAGAACGATCACTGGCAGTCCTGTCAGAGTTAGCTTATATGAGTTATTGCTATTTTTTCTTTTTTTATAAAGCGTTTAAGATATGCATGAAACAGTGCCTTCTTCAGTGAATTTAGTAAAAGTCGGGAATTGGGTTTTGAATTCAATTAGGACGTTCTTTGAGTTCTTGTTTTCTCGAAAGTGGTTGCTAAAATCCCTTTACGACAAAAGGTAACCTTATGTACTTAGATATATTATGAATATGGTCTCATTGTTTGACTTCTCTTTCTCTCTCTATATATATGTTTGATTTCTCTTTCTCTCTCTATATATATATGTGGGTCAAACCATACGAAACAGTTCTGTAGCAATAAATCAATTTATTATATATATAACGAGACTTTCATAGAGTAAATGGCATAAATAGAAATCTATATGTTATATTTTCACATGTGAAAAATAGCGATACGTCCAATCAGAAGCGTGTATAGCATTTCTCACACTGTAAAAATATAACCAATCACAACACTGAAAAACCGTAATCAGCCAATCAGAAAGCGACGCTCACAACACTGAAATGGCTTCACTTGGTCACATACCGCGCGTTGATGGCAAAATGGCTGAAGGTGAACTGTGTTTGTTGATCAAACTTCCACATTTGAAGAGTTTATCAGTGGACAGGAAGGGAAACAAACTAAAGCAAAATAAGAAGAGATGTTTTTCTTCAAGAGAATTAAGTTTTTTGCCATCCAGAATGAACATGAAAGCATGGAAAACATCAGCCAAAACTATAACTTTAACGAACAGAAATTTGTCTCGTTGGTGTTCACCATGAGTTCAGGCCGTTTTATACCAAGTTTTGATCGTTTTCTGCAAAATTTAAACTTATNTATGGAGTTACTCCCGTGGCGGGGTGAGGTGTGGAACGGTATCCAATAAGCATATCCTGTATGGCTGTGGTTGTGTCCTTTTTTTGTAGGTTGGCGATCTGTTCAGTTTTGTTGAGCGTTTTCATGAAGCTTTCAGCCTCCCCGTTGGCTCTTGCGTGGCAGGGTGTGACTTTGTGGTGATGAAATCCTTCCTCTTCTGCAAAGACTGCGAAGTCCTTTGAATTGAAGGGTGGGCCGTTGTCACTTTCGACTCTGCGGGGTGTACCATGTGTTGTAAAGATCTTCTTTAGTTTGTTGATCACAGGTTTGCTTGAGGTGGTGCTTAKGCGTTCYACCTCAACATACCTCGTTCTCTTATCCCTTACTACTAGTTGATAGTGTCCGTCGGGGTATGGTCCTCCAAAGTCGATAGCTATRGTCTCCCATGGTTCTCTTGGGATTGTTGGTGACTTGATTGGTTCTTCTCGATGGCTTTTCACCGTCACCTGACACTCAAAACATTGTCCGATTATCTGCTCTACTAGATTATTCATGGTCGGAAACCAGTACTTCTCTCTAAGCATCTGTTTTGTTTTTGTTATTCCTAAATGACCAAGTCTGTGAGCTGTCTTCACAACCTTTCTTTGCAGCGTGGTTGGTACGACGATCTTGTTGTCTCTTAGAATTATTCCGTCAACTTCATATAATTCTTGCCTGAT